GGCTGCGCTGCCGGAGCCTCGCCGTCTGCATCAGAGTCGTCTCCCGTCCTGAGTCCTTGATCTCGTCGCCGCCACAGAGACGCTCTCGCCGACCGTTGGATCACTCTCGCCGCTGAGTCCTCATTCATCTCCACTGAGGGCAAAGCACGAGGGTGCATGGAGGGCGAGTTCTATCCCCGAAAGGGCGCTTTTGCTTCTCCATGCAACGTCCGTGGCTGCCGTGTGCTCAGCCGGAGAGGCCGGGAGCCTCACACGACGAATCGCACATCGTCGTATTCGACGTCGAGGAAGGTGAGGCGGCCCTTACCATGAGTCCGCCTCGTCCGCACCTTGCCCTTGACTGACACTTGCACACTTACTTGGGGCTCAGAAGGGATGAACGAAGGCGGGATGGAGGGGAAAGCATCATAGAGGAAATCCTCATGCCCTCCGCTTCCGATCTCTGCGAGCTTGGCTCAGTTCCGGGACAAATGAAACTAAACACGTCACGGATTGTGCTCGTCTGTGTGCGCGTGCATGCCGTCGCTAGGCCTGCTTACCTCGTTGATCGATCGAGAAAAACGGTAACGGCCGCCATTTTTGTACGCCCCGTGTAACCCGAGTCGGAAGGAAGACACTGAAGGCCCTCACACCACGCGATGTATAATCTGTATGCGGCTGTGCTGCTGGCCCTTTCCTCTGTCAGCCTGGTCAGCGGTGGCTGCATCGACCGAGACCCCGCCGAGTGGCCGGTGCAGGACATATCGGAGCTGAGGAAAAGATCAGAGAAGGAGCTGGCCGCCATATTCGCAAAAGGCACGCGCACGTGACGCGCACACACAGCGACCAACAACCCGCCAGCCAGCCAGCCAGCCAGCCAGCCAGGCAGGCAGCCATCCGTGTGTGTTCTTGCGTGTGTGTGCGTGTGTTTTGTCAGGTTGTGTGGAGGATGAGAGTTTTATGTTGGGGACCAAGTACGGGGAGATGATCTGGGTGGACCTGCCGGAGCCCTTCCGGTCGGCCTACACGGGGCTGTTCAACCTGGCCTTCCAGGGCTTCTTCGTACAGAAGACCGTCTGCAAAGGCGAAGACCTCTACTTCTACTTCGTCCTGCTCAACCCGTTCGACGGCGGCAAGGTGTGTAGCCGTGCGAAGCGAAGCGAAGCAACACGACGAGGGCGACGCCGGCGGCATGTTTGTGTGTGTATGTGTGCCATACAGGTGTTCAAGAGCCAGTATGGCTGGTTCACTGCGAAAGTGACGAAGGGCCAGCTGCCGGACGAAAAGCAGCGGATCGATGACGCCCCGTCTTACCTGTTTGACTACCGCATCACCAAGGAGGAATGCCCAGATCAAGTCTCGCCATTCGGCCGGCTGGTCCGTGCATGGGACCCACACACAGACACACACACACACACACAGAGAGGCAGAGAGAGAGAGAGATATAGAGCAGTGTGTGCCGTGTCTTGATTGGTGGATGTGTGTGTGTGCAGAAGTACCCCTTCGACAACGCTCCAATCCTCAACACGGTTTTGGACGAGGGGCGGATCGTGGGCATCGACAAGGAGAACAGGCCCATCATACTCCTCCGCATATTCTTCGAAGTCATGCCCGGCAAGTTCGCCCTGTGGGAACACGGCCTCATGCTCGGCAACCCTCTCGACGGTGGCACCGCCTGACCCTACTGACCAATTGATGCCTGGATGGATGGATGGATGAACGAGTGCAGTGCAGCTGACACTTGACCAACACGGTCGATGCAGCTGCTCGTGCAGGGTGGTGCTGAGGGGGTGGTGCGTGGGAGTGACAGTGACTACTATCGTGAGACGACAAACGGGGCCTGACATTCCATTCACTGCATCACATGGGGCCGGTCTGTCTGTTGTGTACTATATATATGTCTGTGAGTGAGGGAAGCGATGTGGGGTCGGTCTGCACACAGGCCGACAGGACGACGGTCGCACGATTACCGTTTTCCGTTGCTGCATTGCACATTGCAATGGTTGAGTTGATCATCCATCGTCCGTGGCGGTGCATTGCATGGTGGGTGGGTGCGGGGGGCGGGAGGGGTGGGGGCACATCACATGCATACAAACATGTGGTGTTGGTAATTCAATTGAACAAAGACAGGACAGGCTAATTCGAAAGCGGTTCATTTCGTTGGGGGGCTGCTAGTGGTGAGGGAGGGGGGAGGGAGGGGGGGCAACCATCCACAGCATCCATCCTGCTTATCATGCGCCGTACCTGTGTTACTGGGTGGTTGGTACTGTTGATTTGTGATGTTGCTGGTGCAGGGGGGGGGGGGGGGGGGGGGG